CCTGTGGTTCGGGGAAAATTGTTTGTTCAGCCGGTGTCTTCTTCGCCATTCTGAATCTCCGTTATCGCCAACCCATACGATCCGTGGATCTGTAAATTAATCCCGGTGCATAGTCGCTGCTGTGTACTGACATCATCCTATTTATGACATTGGAATTTTCGACATTTGGCATTAATTTGATTCATTTATTACTGTTAGGAAGCCAGTAGGCATTATGCCGGCTGTACACGCATTGAAAAAAATTATAGGTTATGACCATTGTACTGCCGTTCGAAGGAAAAACGTCGTATGAACATCTGGACCGCGTTAAGCTGAAAGGATCTAAGCCACATCAGCTACCGCCAGATTTTATTGGGCACTCGAATTTTTTACATGAAAACGGTTGTGCGGCTTTGCGTGCAAACAATGAATTTTCTGAACATTAGGAGGCAAATTCCTTAAATTTTTCAAAGGAATCCGAACGAACGTTCCTCTTAAAAGGTTAAATTGCCGAGTCAAAGTTGGCAGTAGCTGTTGTGGCTTGGTTCCTTTCTGCTAAACGCGGTCCATTTGAACGCTGACAAATGACCATCGATAAACTTCACTGGAAAAAAAAGAACACATTGGATCTAGAGCTCAGACTCTTGAAAACATTGACAAGAAAAAATACTCTTGATTCAATCGGACTTTTGCTTGAATCAAAACGAAATCCGCTGAAATTAAGAGGCTTGGTTCTTGATTTAAGCTAGATTCTGATTGACTCAAGAGTACTTTTTCTTGTCGATGTTTTTAAGAGTCTGGACTTTAGATCCAAAGTTTTTTTTCCAGTGTAAAAATTTTCGGTCAAATGAATAAGTTTTACCTGAAAATTTTCAGAGAATTTTTTCAGCAATTTAAGGACGCTAGAAACGCGCATGCGTTATGCGCCACGGGACCGCTACTGCCCTTTCTTTGACAATGAAGCGATTCTAATTATTTGAAGCAAATGTAAGCCAACTCGCTGGTACCGATAAGCTTTGGCGCACGGGGATTATTATTTCGCTCAACCCACGAATCCTCCTGATCGAGATCCCTCTGCCGACTCGTAGCGCTCCCTATCGCGGTGGCAGATTAGGACGGTTATCCTTTAATCCGGCGCTAACCGATTCTTGACATCATATCTGAACGAGTTGTTTCCAAAAGGGAACATGTTAATTTTCAGATGACCTCGAGCTATGTTCTGATGCTAGTATTCAGGGGCTCATCTAATAACGGATATGTTCCATTCTAGTGAAAATCGGTTCATCTATGATACCAAAGCTCTTTACGTCGAGCAGCCAATTTTTGCATCCCAGCGTTGCGGAAATTCGCCTCTCTCTCGTAAAAAGTTTAAATTGATGCAATGATCAGGGGAGCGAAGTATGAATTTTAGGAGCCATCTGTGGTTCCAAGTAGCATCTTTTTTCAGATCGAACATCCCCAATTCCAAAAACCATCGAGTATTTCGTGAGATTTTGATGAGACTATCTATTATATTTTCGAAAAATTCGTTGATTTGTATTACCTTGCTGAGGAAGAACGCCGCATGAGCCATCAGGCGTTGCTATATTTCGCTCGATTAATCACGAATGGAGCATTTGCAGGTGTCTGAAATTTGATGAATTTCGTATTCAAGTGGGAACTACTGAGTGAGCTGAACAGGAAAATGCCCTTGGTTCATGAATTGAACAGTTATTGTGGAAGGTATGACAAAATTATCTAATCCGCAAAAATACGTGTGATTAATTGGAAAATGCTGCCAGATGACGTCACTAGGCGGTGCACTTTCTCACTTTGAAATCTATTTTCCTACTATTTCCCATATCAGAAAAAAATTATTAAAAATACTGTGAAATTAGCTCTTTAAGCACTTTCAGATGAGGCAATAAAAATTTTGCATGCAAATGCTCCATTGCCCGGAAATTGTTGAACATTGCTTTTCCGATTTTTCGGAGGATCTCGTTCGTAATTTGATCTAAAAAGTCGGACAATTTCTAGGGCAAATACTCATAACTTTCTTCAAAAATAAATATCCTTTCAGAGGAAGTTTGGCAACATTCGAATGCTCTTACGGCGTTTTTACCGAGCACGGTAGTTTAGTTTTGACGGAAGGAAAGAGAGCGAAGACCCCGGTGCCGACGCACACTGGAGCGAGTCTACAGGAGAAGTCGGACAAAATATGGATACATTGAAAGCTCATATTTTCGAAAATATGAAGTTCCAAAAGGGATTCCATTGACTTTTCCGTGCGATTTTCTTTCAGATTCACCCCTTGAAATTGAATTTGTGACGAAATAAACATCAAAATTTGAAATTCCAGCCAAAAATTTCACGCCCGACCTCTTTCCAATTAGCATGTCTCACTGTGCGACGGCGTAAATTTTCTGAATCAACGATTCGACGCCCCCGATCCGAAATTCACGTTTCGGGTATTAATAACTCCCCGCGGTTTATTTATACCCGGGCTAACCTTTTAAATTAATAAAGTGGCCCTATTGATGGGTCAAAGTTGAGAAAAAATGTCTTAATGACCCGATTCGGCTCCGGAGGAAGGACTCCGGTTCGGCCCCGCTCACCGGCGGCACCGGCTTCGGGAGCGAGAACAATCAATCTTCCGCGGTGCCCTAACAGCACTCCTAGCAACTAGACGTCCGACGGCGCTTAGGCCTGCCAAGTTCTTGCCTCACGTTGTCCGTCATTAATTTTACGAGATTTTCGTTTTTAACCCTTCGATTCCTCTTTATTTCTCCCTCCGACATCGCCACTTTAAAAAACCACTCTGAAAATCACACTGAAAAACCACTGAAGGCAGAGTGTCCACCGTACACTATGGTCAGGAAAGTCCGGAAATATTGTGCGGATTTTTTTAGGGCGGTCCGGAAGCAGGGGTGTAGGAAGTTCTTGGCCTTCCCATTTTTAAACTTAAAAAAGAAAAAGCATTTTTTCTCAGAAATTGCAAAGTGATGACTTTCTTACATCTTTGTAGCTGTAGCGGCGATTTTGCGAAAAACACGTGCTCTCTACCGCAATCTTACAAGAAACACGCGATTTTCACGCAATTGTACTGGAAACACGTGATTTTTACTGCAGTTTTACCAGCAACTTGTGATTTTTATCGCAAGTTTGCGAAAAATTGTGATATTTCCGGCTTTTGCAAGTGGTAACATCGTTTTCGGGACCCTTCCATTTTTACTCGCGACCGATCGCGATCTGCCCAGTCGCGTGGTCGAGAAGTGTTCGCACCCCTGTCCGGAAGTACCGAAAATGTACAGCAATTCCGCAGAGAGGTCTGGACTTTATTCCTCCATGTTACGCGTGTTTCTTAAGATATCCAGAAAAGTGTCCAATCCCATTGATTCTCACCGCAGTATCCTGTGCAGCCCGTAGATCTTCAGGCCACCAATGAGCCTCGAACTTCGTGGTTATGTCATTTTTTTCGTCATTCCCGAGAAGAATCCACAGAATGTCGTATGAACTGGACCACATTTTGCAATTGGGAGCTATAAATTCTAGCCCAGTTTAAAGACAACGTATGTGCCATTAGTTTCCCTACGCACAGAAGTGTTTTTTCAAATGAGCCAGACTTTATAGTTCCAAATTGCAAAATGTTGTCCAACTGTCGGGCGTTGCCGAAGTGTCTTCGATGAAACTCGATTTTTTTAAAGAAACTCGGGATTATTTTTATTTCATTTTTCAGACAATTTTATTCCTAATATCATCTAAAATATCTGCAAATTTCAAAGAAAAAATTCTTAAATTTTCTCACGAATGAACTTTTTATCGAGGGAAGTTCGGCAACGTCCGAATGTTGATAGGGCGTTTTTCCCAAGCCCGGCAGTATTTTGGCGGGAACGCCGGGGTCCGTGGGTCGCCTCGAAAGCTCGGGGCCGAAGCCGTTGGCCGCGGCGGCGGGGCGGGTGACAATGCGGCTGTGGCACTGGTGACACGGATCCCTCGCGTCATTTCGTCTCGGAAATTTTCCCGAAAACTTGGCATATTTTCTCCGTTTCCGCATCATAGCTCAACGTGTCGCGGAGCTATTTTCATTCTCCATCCTTCTCCGACAAACGATTCCCGAACACTTGTTTCCCCGCCCCCTCCCCGCCGCCGCGAATCCCATCACGACGAGAGGAACATTGTAGAGCTATTTTATGAACGCTTAAATTATGAATATCCACTTTTGGCCGATCACCGTTGATGTTGTCTGTGTAAAATTCACATCTCCGAGTGTGTTGTAGCACACTGCTCGTTGTGTTTGTCCCCCGCACCCTCTCTCTCTGTTCCGCCAATAAATAGCGTTTCTTCGTCTATTCACATGCGTGGGCAGCCATGTAGTATGGTGTCTAGGACTTGATCTATCCGCGGGATTTATAATATGCCCGAGAGTTGAAGAATTCATTTGAGTCGGTGTCGGAAACTGGGAATTTCTTCCTTTTCCGCTTTGAGGCCATTTTGATTTTGGAATGCTCGACTTTCGGTTTTTTGGCGCTCGAGGATTACTTAGTTGGAAGTTGAAAGAATACGCTTATTTTGCTCTAAATTCTGAAGAAGTATCTCGGTTTTCGGAAGTAATTGAAGGGAAAACGGCAAGGAACCGCGGTTTTCGTCGGAAGATGTGCCCCGGAAAATCAGGAAAACATCAGGAAATAAGAACGGCATAGAATATCAGACTCTTTGGCCATGATAGGTGCTAATTGAACTTCATTTTGCAAATCGGAACCTCTACTTGCGCATCCATAAAATCAACTATCTGCATTGGAAAACCAGTGGCACATACATTGTTTCTAAATTGCGACAGAAATAGTATTTTCTTATCGCAAAATTTAGATCAATTGTAACATTTGCTATAGACCGCCGCAATGGCGGGCTGCTGGGGGAAAAGAGTACCTAATGAAAATATAATCTTGGTTTTTTTTTTTTGTTTTTTTTTGGTGTTTTTCGTTTGTTTGTTTATTGTACAATCATGATCTAATCCTACTTTTCTTTTTCTTGTGTGTTCACAGAATTGCCAGCAGAAGAAGGTAAGAATCTTTTCGTTTTGGTCCAGGAGCCGTAAGTAGTAATTTTTTTTTATCGCTCATCGATTTTTCAGTAAAACATTTTAAGTTATGGATCAAACACCCCCCCCCCCACCTACGAGGATTGTTGAATTATCAATTTCAATTAATATCATCCGATAGATCATCCATATTAAATCATCAGTTTACTTAACAATCATGTTACTTCGTCCCTATCGCAGAATGCGGCCCAACTTTCCGTTGGACTACATTTTATAATAACCAGGAACTATTGCTGCTGGCTCATCCATAGAAGCACCTATCTGCGTCGGGAATTCCTTGGCACGTTTACTTTGTTTCTAAAATGAGCTACAAAAAGTACTGCCTTATATCGTAAAATGTAGTCAAATGGACCACTAGACAAGGTACGAATTTAAGCATTCTGAGACAAGTTTCCTAGTCATAATTTCATGTAGTACACGATTCGCGCAACGAAAATTACCGAAATCAACTCCTAACAAATATATTAACGTTTTTATTTCACATTGGTTACGAGGAATTTGAACTGCCCGCTGACAAGAAACTCAAAGCTCTACGTGAGTCAAATCGTGCACTACAACGGTTTCAGCAAGCTTCTCAATCGAGCGATGTTCATTTCCCACCATGTGTTGTTCAAACTATAAACAACTTGCTATAGCTGAGCCAAAGCGTCAATTGAGGTTGCCAGATTTTTATATACCAGAGACTGTCATGATAATGTTTAGCGCACGATGTGAATCACGCAGAGCATTGAGTTTTCATGAGCGGGTCGTTTGAATTCATGCATCAAGAAGCATTAAATATCTTCGTAAGGAGTTGATTTTGGTAATTTCCGTTGTGCGCATCGTGTTTTACGTGAAATTTTGGTGAAGAAACATGAATTAGCATGCTGAAATTCGTACCTTGTCTAGTGGTCCATTGTGATTTACCCGCCTTAGAAGTTTTGAGAAACCACGTATCTCCACGTTGAAGGACTCGAAATGATGCGCGGTTTTCCTTCAAAACCACGCCGCTAGCTCAACTTAGCTTAATGACGACCAGTGGAAGCAGAGGAAACATAAATGAGCCATTGAAATTCGAATCGGCGTGAGTTAATGACTGTTCCATTTTTTCTGCCATCGACGGATTCCTAAACAACATGTGACGAATGTGTTGAATGTATTTCACTGGGTTAGTCCGATTCACGGGAAATTTGTGGCTCATTCAAATTTCGTTAAGTGCTAAAAGATAATTTTTCGCGTTTTAATTTGAAAAAGACCCCCCCCCCCCCACCCGAGAGTTACTTGTGTTTTATCCGTGTACGTCTAAAGAGACGTGAGGTTAAAAAGTTATTTTTTTGTATAAATACGTATTTAAAAATTAAGAATACGTCATTCGGGAAAGAGCGCATACATCGGCATTGAAATCCGATAAAGTAGCACGGTTATTCACAGTTTAACGTGACGTAAGGTGTATTTTTTTGGAATAGATGAACATTGCGTCAGGCAGGATGCTTCGTGGCCTACCCCCTAAAATGAAGGTGGGGTTACAAAAAGTACTTAAAAAACGTCCCCATACTCTTGGCAACTTTCCCTCCTCACTCTGCTTCATCCTAATAATCCCGTCATAAACCTTTAGTAAGAAAAAGTGTCCCTTTTCATCCCAATCCCGTCTATACTGGTCCTTAGTGCCTTCACAGCAAAAGTATGGCCACTCAAAGATGTGTTTCATACCATTATAGTCCTTTTACGTCACCATAGAAATGTCTAGGACCATAAGAGCGCACTTTCCCCAACAGATATAGGATAAATAGACATAATGCATGGTTTAATTTGCTTGTAGTACGGTAACATTTGTTTGTGGAAGAACTAAAACCTGTGCTGAATCCATTAAACGAGTGATTTTTCCTGCTACATCGATCCTTTCAGTTTTCATTCATTTGTAGCAATTTCGGCAACACTTTTAAAAAATGAATTTTGTCAAAAAAAAGGCAAGAACCTCCTTTCTTTCCATCTTAAGCTTCCTGCCTTCTGAAAAGACCGGAATTTATGACTAGGCGAAAATTACTTGGGAAAATCAGGAAATCTGTCAGGGAACCAGTGTTTTAAACTGAGGATTTCTCCTCTCCGCTCAGAATTATATTATTTTCAATTTAAAGTTAAAAAATCGGCTCAGTTTTGGAGAATTGAACAAAATATGAAATAAATTACAAAATAGTTTTCCTTTGAACTTTGGAAAAATATTGTCTTATTCAAGACGACTTAGAAGGAAATGAGTGGAAATCTCAAATCTTCATCCATGAATTTCGGAGCGTATGGAAAATCAGGGCAATAACAGGGGATGAAAAAAATTATGAATCTCATACACCTATACCTAAAATCACCGCCATTTCTCAGACCCAGCACAATATCTTTAAGGCCAAAAAGTCTGGCCACTCCCTCCTTCTCCATAAATTTAAGCTGCACAAGCTCACCAGGCCAAGTTTCATAGGTTGTAAAACGTTTGGTTAAAAAAAGTAGGAAAAACCAACAGAAAACACCCACTCCCCTAAAAAAAAATTCAGAATAGCCTATCGACAAGGTTCAAGTTTAAAGTTGAGTGGTTTGCACTCGACTCTCTTCGCAATTAAATTAATGACCTTTGAGGTCGGCGAAAAGCTCGAGGCCTTTCAAAGCAAGTGGACTGAACTTCCGGAGTTGATCTCGTATTTACAAGCCTCAGGTAGTTCCAAGCTTGCACCGTAGATCGAGCTATTTCCAGATGCGTCGTCCGGACGCTGTGCAGTTCCAATTTCTTTTTCCTCTCGCTCCCTCACTCCCCCTCGTCATCCTTTTTTGGGCCTTCTTTTCCCCGTCGGGTATCTATTTTTCCTAGTTTCACCCCCCCTCTCCTTTTCTTTGACCCTTCCCGGCTCCAAGTAATCCACTTGACACGTTTTTCTCCTCTACCGCAATTAACCCATGAACTTGATCGATTATCCTGCCGTGTCTCCCCCACTAATGAGGGATGCTTCGCGCACCGCCAGTTTACACCGTTGGAAAATCATTTTTGATCGAGAAAAGCTCTCCTGAAGAAGGGAAGAAGAGAGAATGAAAACGTGTGCTCGTAGTTTATCCTCTGGACCCCTTTAAAAGAAAAAAGGGAATTTTTCGAAATATTCCTTCTCTTTCTATTATAGAAATTTATTATTTGAGACGATTTTAGTTTTGCTCGACTAATTTATTTGTTCCCAAATCTAAATAAATACACTTTTTGGAGACTTTTTTAGTGAGATTGTTGGCTCAAAATTTAATTTCTGATACGGTAGAGATGCGTTGCAAATTTTAAATATTCTATTTTAAATATTCCACTTTTAAAAATATATATTTAAATTCTACATCCCTCATCAAAAGAAGGTAAATTTTCTGAACCCTTTGTATCCAAAACCTCTCGGTCTAAACTCTCTTGGGTCTAAAACCTTGTTTATGTATATATTTTTTTCATGTGATGACCCTCTTGGCATTAGGAACACAAAATAGATAATTTAGCTCCCGTCCAATATTTTTTTTGCCTCTTTTACAGTCGTTTCAAGAATGGAGAAGTGCTTTTCCAGGGATAATACATTTGAAAGGTGAAGTAGTAAATATGCTCGCTTTGAAGTTCTATTCGCGCTCTGTTTCAAAACCAACGTAATTATCCCTGGGAATGTGGAAGGGGAGGGGGGCGTGTTTCCGAACTAGCAAGTCCATGGATTAACAAGAGTGTCATTTTCATCGAAGTTCGCCGATTACAATTCAGACGTAGGTCTAAAGCTTGGCAGAAAAGCACGGGTCCCCTTTTCCCCTTTATCGGTTCACCAGCACCATAGTTTTATTAAAATATGAACTGCTTCGATATAATTGTAATTCGAAATCTTAATATGTATGATTAATATTAATTTATTTTTTTCTCAATTTCAGGCAAATCAATATGGCAGTTAGTTTTGGAGCAATTCGATGATCTATTAGTTAAAATTTTGTTATTAGCTGCAATTATTTCATTTGTAAGTACCCATTTTCTTCACCATTTTTCTTGACGCATGCTAATACATCGGGATCTTCTTTAGTTTCGATTATCTGATGTAGTGAATATCAGTCCGGGTTTATTTTCGAGAGGTGTATAAAAACACTCCATCATTCGTGGTATAAGCACTACGCAGGGTTTTCTCCGTAAGTCGTGTTGGTTGCTTAAAGTTTACGTTACCAGGCTCAGTGAATATCCTAATTTTAATTTTTATCGAATACCCCCCTTCGAAACCTGTATCATACCTACATTTAACCAACCACTCTTGTTCTTCGCGCACGAAGATACGGAATTGATCATTATGCGCGGTCTTCAGCGTAAAAACCAATGGCGTGGCGATTTATCGATATTTCTCCACTTGAAGGTGTATTAAAGAATCGATTCTCAAGATGTTCATTGCGAACACCTTGATAATCGATCCTTTTCCACAGATTTAAATGGCAGATCAATCGATATATCGCAAAGCACGCCACGCCACTGGTAAAAACGGGCGTCTCTTTTCTCCAGACTGACATGGTACTTATTCATAGAGTTGGGCTGTATCTATTTTAAAATCCTCGTATATCCGAAGCCTTCTCTCATCGACGCGTCTGGCAACCGTAGTAATGGTGCTTTCGTTTATGATTAACTTCCTGGACGTTAAAAAAACGCTCGCTGGAAGTGCACTAATTGCCCAAGTATAAAGATTCGCGTGACGTCTCTTGTCTGCAGTTCCCAAATTCCCATTTCCATTATTTTTTCCAATTTTTTAAATGATGTTATAATTGAAGTACCATCGAATATTCATAACTCAACCTTGGTGCCAAGAACTCGACAAAATGCCTCCAAAACAAAAAGAGAGGTTTTAGAATTTTCCCCGTAAAAAATGCGCGGTGACGAGTCATGTGAACATTCTTCAAGTTGCCCTGAAGTTGCGGTCTGCTGCATGTAATGATTCAGTCGTGAGAGAAGTGAATTCCGAAGGGAAAACGAACCTTACAGAATTAAAATACTCTTTTTTAGGGTGCGCTTTCAATTGTTTGATTATACTACTTTAACTGCACGAGCGTTAAATAAGTCGCATGCCTTGCGCCGTGCTCTGTTCATAACCTTGGCAAGTTATTCGAGAATCTATTGTATTATGGGCGATTTTAAATAGATGCGGTCAATCTTGACAATTAACAAGAGTGAGGCCAGGTAGAAATTTCAGTTTCATAATTTTTTTAAAGTTTTTCCTCTTGTGAAGTAGGTGCATTAAAGCTCACAAACGCTTTAGCTATGAAAATGTTCATTGGCCTTAACCCAAGTAAATTTATCACCTTAAACATTAACATACTGGCCTGGAAAGTTAATTTTCTTTGTTTTCAAAATTGTCTATATCGACGGCGCAAGTCCGCAATCACGATCTCAGAGATCGTGGTAAAGTATCGTACTTCTGTTATAAATGTGGCTTGGAATAGTTCGGCATTTTTTTTTACAAAAGAGGTAAAAGTTTCAAAGCCGTAGGTAAATATGATGTTCCATGAAGTGCAAGCTCACGCCTCGCGCCATGGCGCCTTCAATTTTGCAGATGCAACACGGACATCCATCAAGCATGAATAGTTGTATCTCTGCGCCGTCATTAACGCGTGTCCTTTCCCTTGTTCTATTTCCATATCGATGTTGTAATGTAAGTCGGCAATCATATAACTCGTTTGCGGTGTCTGGAAATCTCCGCCTCTATGTTATTTTTTTAAAGGAGAACACATGGACATCATTCCTTGAAGTGTATGCAGAATTGTCTTCACGCAGAGAAGAAAAATCACGGCAGTTTTAAAGAATCGTCGTTGGGTTGTTTTCCGTTTAAAAAATAAAGTATGACAGGAAGTCTGCGACGTCGCAAAGCGAGTTATGTGATTGCCGACTTACACCGTCGATATATTCAGGATTGCTAGAAGGCGGCGTAATGTATTTTTGATTCTTGGGATTTAAACATTTTAGGATACCCACACCGAGAAAAAAAAACACGGTTTTTCGACGGTTTCCACGGTAGTAATGTCACACGGGATTCCACGGTAGTAGAACCGTGGTTTTTGATGACTATAATGATGAGCACGGTGCTGTCACTGTGTTCACCGTAATATTACTGTGAGCAGAATAATGCTACCACGAGCATGGTTATGCCACTATGCTCATCAATAATCTTACCAAAATCCATGGTTCTACTACCGTGGAATCCCGTGTGAAATTACTACCATGTAACCGTCAAAAAACCGTGGTTTTTTTTTCTCCGTGCATCATAGCTCAATGTAGTAGGCTTTGCCCCAGTAATCGGGACGTTTCGGCTCGTATTTTATTCGGCAAGACGGAAAGAAAGACTCGGGCGACGTCAGCGGTCGCGAGGTTTCATGACGTACGTTGTAAATTTGACCTATGCTACTTTGTTCTCTCTCACGTGATTTTTAAGCAAAATCCCATCTTGTGCCGCACGCATCTTGTTCCGCAAGTCTCAGTCAAAGCGGAGCGAGCTTGTTAAATACTTTAATTAAAGTGATAAATCAATATATTCCCGATTCCGCCTCGATTCTTTTCCGGCGAACAACTTTTCTTTTAACACCCCATCGACGAGTTCCGGGGAAAGGTAGGATGAAGCCAGACCCCCGTCGCAGTCGGCGCAGTTCTGTTGAGAGCTCGAATTTTGCGAAAGAAAAAGAAGTGGAAGAGAGAGCCCCGACACTATTTATAATGCGGCAAATTGGTTTGAGGTGGCAGAATCTTTCACTTCGCTGAAAAACCATCGTCGCCAGTTTTGTAATGGAAAAGTAGGAGTTTATCGACACGCGAAACTACCTTCGAGCGAATCTCGAAACGAGGTTGTTAAAATGGGACCGGGAGAAAGAAAATAATAGCGAAAAGGGTCACCGCAAGATTCAGGTTTGCGCGGAAATTAGTTTTTTACCAGCAAAAATCTGAAAAAAGCGTGAAATTAGAGCGTTACCTAGCTTAATTCCGAAAAAAATTAAGCTCGGCAGTTTTCCGCAACAACTTTTAAATTCAATTTTTTTCGTTCATTGCAGTTAAAATCAGCCTCATTTGGCTTCAAATTACGTCATGAAACCTTTGTTAACGGAAATTTTTGAGATTACGGAAAACGTTCAATTCGTGTAATCTTTATTCCCGTTAGTGACTCCATGAGGGGTTGTTGTCTCGACTTTCAGTATAAAAGGACTTTAGAATACCTAGATTTTTTTTCGTATCTACTTTATTTTTCTTAAAAGAGGTAGCCGCCCACATAAAATGACGTCATGACGTCCTCATCAACCATGCGATAACGTCGGCAACGTCTATCAGCGACGTTGAAATCCCCGATTTTGACATGTTTGCCTCGCAGCCGGGGAAAAAACCCGGTGGCAAGACGATTTTCACCGAAAGGACGCGAGGGACGGTGGCGGGGGTGGGGGTGGGCCCGACGTCAGAAAATTTCGACGGAAGTTACGTCGACGTCGACCGACGTTCGGGCGCGTGGACGTGGACGGTCCGAGGAGCCAGAGCGCCCGGTGGAAATAAATATTTATTCGTACAAGTTAATTGAACTTGCCCCGTATCGGGCGTCATGACGGAGCATCTGTTTAGCTTGAAAATCCCGTGTTTCCATAAACACGCACCGCGCTTCCTCAAACAAGACAAGACGCCGGCCTATACTGTCGTCCTAAGGAAAAACACCCTATGATCCTTTATACGTTGCCAAATTTCCTTCGATTAATCACCAATTTTATGGAAAATTTTTGAATATTTTTTCACCGATTTTTCTGAGGATTTAGTTCCAAATTCGATCTGAACATCCTGCAAATTTCAAGGGAAAATATTCGTAACTTTCTTGAAAAATAAATGTTTTCTCCGAGGAAGTTTGGCAACGTTTGAGTGCTCGTGCGGAATTTTTACTTAGCGCGGTAGTGTAGCTCCGGTTTCAGTTGACGGTTTTTGAACTTGTGCCCCGACCCGGCTCGGCCGGCGGCGATGTTATTGTTTCTGTCCACCGCGTTTCGATCGTCTGCTATGATGATGATGATGTCTTTCGGCGTGCCATCCATCGGGCCGTCGCGTTTTGGGCTATTAAGTTGTAGCTCCAGGCGGTTTTTGCCTCTGTTCTACAGGGTGATCAGAAAGAACTGGAACATCAACGCATCAGGCATCGCTCCTGTAACTTCTGAAAAAATTGAGGTAGAGACTTGAAATTTTGTGAGTGCTTTCAGATCCAAGAAAACTATTTTTCATCATCATGAAATGGACTACATTTTGCAAGTTGGAACTAGAAATTCTAGCCCGGTTTAAAAACAACGTATGTGCCACTAGTTTCCCTATGCACATAAGTGTTTTTCCATAAGAGCCAGAATTTATAGTTCCAAATTGCAAAATTCAGTCCAAATCATGATGATGAGATCACCATAAAAAGTGGCAAGAGCTCTGCCGCCGTGCAAAGGAAAAACGTCGTATGAGCCTTTAGACGTTGCTAAGTTTCAGTTGATAAAATACGATTTTTCCAGGAATTTCGCAAGTACTTTTCCTCCAATTTTTCAGAGGATTTTACCCGCAATCAGATCTAAATTATTGGAAAATATTGTGGTTAAACATTCATAACGGCCATAAAAAATAATAATTTTATCGGAGGAAATTTGGCAACCCTCAAAACAATGATCATACGGCGTTTTTCCTTCGCACGGCAGCCCAGGAGTTATAGGCTATAGGGCAATGGCGTGGCGTGCTTTGCGATTTATCGATTGTTATGCCATTTAAACCTATGGAAAAGGATCGATAGACAGGGTGTTCGCAGCGAACACCTTAATAATCGATTATTTACCATAGGTTTAAATGGCATAACAATCGTTACATCGCAATTCACGCCACGCCACTGTTATAGGGGCGGTGCGGTACTTTTGGATCACTCTGGATGTTGAATGCTGAAGACATTGATGACATGGAAAGATAGAATGTCGTTTGATCCTCCTGGTGCTGCCAAATTTC